CCGAAGGCAGCGCGACAGGCCGTGTGGGCTGAACTCGTCGAAGAACTTAGTCATCCTGTGAATTCGACGAGTACGAGCGGACACGGTGTCCTTGTTGATGGCTATGGGTATGGAGGCTCACGCTTACCCGTCGTCGACAGCCCTCGCCGACTGGACTGCGTCGGAAGCAGGCACTGAGCTGCAGCGGTGGAAACGGAAACTCAAGACTGCGTTTGGGAGCAAGGATGTTGGTGCTGGACGACAACCGGTGGCTCAATCCGCCGGAGAAAGAGTGAATCCAGCGAACATTCCGTTGCCGAGGACGCCGAAGAAGACCACCCGAGCAGTGTTCGGCTCTGCCGAACAGTCGCCATATTTCCATGACTCCCATATGGTCACACCAAGGTCGGAGAGCTGTAAGGCACGCGTTGCCCGAGAAGCGGAACAAGCGGCGTCGACGGCGAACACTCGACCTGGTACGGGAAGAAGCTCCTCAAGGGCTGACGACAACTCGTCCAGTGACGAGGACAACCCATTCTATCAAGATGACGATGAAAATGACGCTACAACAGAGCTGGCGTGGCAGATCCGTGAACTCACGGCAATGGAAAAGATGGGTCCGACTCCAAGGTTCGAGATCGCTCAACATCGATCGTTGGGCAAGATCACTCCTTTCCGCGGTAGACTGGATGAGAGCGAGAACTCCATGCAGGGGTTGAGAGGTTTTGTGTATGAGATGAAAGGTACACACACACCTCCCAACGGCTGGTGCATGGCTTTCCAACTGAGTCTCAGGGATGGTGCCGTAACTGGCACAGAGCTTTATCTCGAAAGACGAAGCGCACTTGGAGTCTGCTGAGTGACAAGTTCATCAAGCGGATTTGGTCAAGGTGGATTCCGACCTACAACTCAATCTGGATCGAGGTTCAACGATAACCGTGGTGGACGCGGTTTCTAGAGACCAAACTATGGTCCATGTGCAACATGTGGTGGACAGAACCATTCCACACACTTTTGTTTCCGAAGATGCCGGTTGTGCCAGCAAGTGCACGACTTCGGCAAGTGCTAGGCCTTCGACGAGCTGGTCAAGATCCTCCGGATGGATGTTGACAAGAAGAACATTAGTCCCGAGCTCCAGAAGTTCGTCTTCGGTGGGCATTTAAACTAGGCTGCCCGCCAACCGAGCCTGGGTTGATCCCTACCGGGCAGCCACAGTCAGCCGAGCTGGTGATTGACTCGGAATGTTTGTATGCGTTCACCGGGAAGTGTGAATGGTCTGAAGACAACAATAACAATGATAAAAACGAGAAAAATGTGGTGTTCGATGGAGAATGTGGCGTATGTCCCGACGGAGGCACATTGCATGAGATTAAAGAAGATATTACTACGGAAAAAGTGGTGAACGATGACTGGCTGGTGAGCATCTGTGAAGCGAATGAAGCTGCACCGATGCACGCCAAGACGGTGAAGTTGCCCCCAGGGGAGCGAATGGGATGGTGGTCGTCGCAGAGATTCGACCGACGAGTGAGGATACGAGCTCTCGTGCACGGTGCAGTGAACGATGTGAGGACTTCGATCCTCTTGGACACTGGCGCGAGCGTGAGTATAATCACGACAAAGTTGGCGCGACGACTACGACTGGAGCCTATCCCGGAGCATGGTTGACAGCTCGAGGTGCAAGGAATTCAAGAAGGAAAGATGTCAACGACAACTCGAGTGAAGGCTAAGGTTACTCTGGGATGAAACACAGTTTATGAGTTCGTGTTCTGGGTCATGGACGACAGTGCTGGATCAGAAGTGGTGCTCGGCACCGACGTTATGATACCAGCAGGAATTCACTTGGATCTGTTCAACGCGACAGCCAAGCTTCCAGGGGAAGAAATGGTGCCGCTAGTGAAATCGCTAAGCGCTGACGAAGATTCAGCTGTAGGGATGCATGTCACCGGCAGAACCACAAAGAGCCTGCAGATACCAGCAGGAGAGTGGATTGAGTTCCGGTTGCAGAAACGAAAACCATCGTTAGGAACTCACGATGTTTTAGTACGGCGTACAGTCGCGCTGAATTCGCTTGGATCTGTTCAACGCGACAGCCAAGCTTCCAGGGGAAGAAATGGTGCCGCTAGTGAAATCGCTAAGCGCTGACGAAGATTCAGCTGTAGGGATGCATGTCACCGGCAGAACCACAAAGAGCCTGTAGATACCAGCAGGAGAGTGGATTGAGTTCCGGTTGCAGAAACGAAAACCATCGTTAGGAACTCACGATGTTTCGGTGCGGCGCACAGCTGCGCTGATTCCGACGATCACTCGGTTCAGGAAAGGTCAATCGACTCTAGGCCGGTTGACGAACATCACTGACAGGGTGGTGTACTGTCCGGTACACCTTGACGTGATAGCCTGGGTACCCCGAGGTTTCATGCCAAAGCAAGCCGGCTACGTGCCGATAGACTCTCGGAAGTACGAGCAGTGGCAGGGGTTGGCTTATGCTGGATCACATGACGAAACCTGGTTCAAGCTGGAGTGCGAGCTGTACGAACGATGGCTGGCATCACAGCCACCCTTGGTCGAACGACAGCCCTACACATGGCCGACTAGCATATTGCAGAAACTCGACGAGTACTCGAGTGATAGTGACGATTCACTATCACAAGGCGAATAATGGAGTATGGAGCCTGTGGCTCGGAGCGTTGATGGTGCGACCGACGGCTCGCCAGTGGGCGATGATCCGGTTAGTGCTGCAGCCGCATTAGGAGCTTCAATTCCTACTCCAACTGAATGTTTGAATATTGACTGTGGTTGCAATAATCCACCGACTGAAACTCACAGCGAAGAGAAATCGCCTGACGCGGCTGTCGCCGATCTGGAGCATACGTTTATGTGTGTTATGCACGTACTGTCCACTGAGGGCAACGACGATCTAACTGACGACGACTACGCCGTGTATGAAGCGAACTACATTTCGCTGGAGGACTATGCCTAAGAATTGACATTCTTGCCTGACTTGACAGAGCCCTCGGTCACGGAGCTTGATTACACCGCTCCGAATGTGAAGAACCCGATTTTCGTCGGCGATCAGCAACGACGACTCGATGAGGTGCTTAAAAAGCACGAGGCGATCATGATTTTGAGTGGCAATGTATTACCACCTCCTGCGTATGGGGTGGTATGTGACATCGACGTCCAAGGGCATGCACCGATCAAACAACGAGCGAGGCGGATTCTGCTGAGGCACTTGCAGAAGCTCTACGAGCTACTCAAAGGACTGCTTAAGGCTGGCCCCATTGCGTTCTCGGACAGTCCATGGGCGTCGCCCATCGTGATTGTACTAAAAAAGAATGGCCAGGATATTCGACTATGCATCGATTACAAGATGGTCAATGCAGTCACTGCAATCATGGAGTACGCCATGCCTCTAGTCGACGACTTGTTGACCGAGCTGGAGAACTACCTGTGGTTCTGTTCGTTGGATGCGGCTAGTGGCTTTTGGGCAATCATGATGACGATGCGTGCACGCAAGATTTCAGTGTTCGTTTGTGCGTTAGGGTACTTTGGGTGGCTCCGAATGCCTTTTGGGTTGACGAATGCTCCCATGATCTACCAAAGGATGATCGATAATGCTTTATGGGGCTTTGTACAGCCTAAAGGTGGATGGAAGCGATATGATGAGCGAATGAAACTCGCGGAAAAAGCAGCCAAACACCAACGATCACTCGACGGCGACTCATATTTTACCCTGACGACGACTCGGACCAAGTTTGAGGCTGATCGACATGCGTCGTCAGAGCTGGATCCGGTGTTACGAGTCGTGAAGGATCCATACACAGACATGTTTGGGACTAATGAACCGGCCGAATCGTCGCTAGTCCCAGTGTTCCAGCGTCGATCCTTCGTAGATGGCATTTGCTTTAGTGGTACAACATTTGACGACTGCTTGGATACTCTGGACCAGTTGCTGGCGCGGTTTGAGGAATGCAGGATCAGTGTCAGCTTTACTAAAATCATATTTTGTCAGTCCAAGGTCGACTTCCTCTCTAACGAGGTGTCGCCTGAAGGAATACGGGCTGACCCCAAGAAGATGACAGCTATTACCAAGTTGCCGTTCCCCAAGTCGAAGAAAGGAATGCAACAATTCCTTGGCTCTCTCAACTACTACAGTCGCTTCATCCAAGACTTTGCAGTCTATGGAGCCGCGCTGTATCAGTTGAAGGAAGAAGATTTCTACGACGGGGGTGACTTGGCTGCGGCCAAAGAGAGCTTTTTTGCGCTCCAACGAAAAGTAGCTGACGCTCCATTCCTACGACATTTCGATGACAAGAAGGAGGTACACATTATCCTGTACGCCAACGAGTGGGCGTTGAGCGCAACCTTGATGCAGATGCACGACGACAAACTACACCCTGTCCGCTTTTGCGGACGAGTTCTCAAGGACGCCGAGATGATCACTCGGCAGAAAAGGAAGTCCTAGCTTTGTTGCTGCTGCTCAAGGTGTGTTACACCCAGCTGGCGGGAAAGACACTGCATGTGTACACCCGATTCTCTACACTTGGATGGGTTCACAAATCTAAGTCGCTTTTCGGCAGGGTAGTGCAGTTTGCGGTGCTGCTGTCACCATGGCAACTAGAAGTACAGCGAGTTCGAGAGAAAGACTGCGTGTTCACGCAGTTGCTACAGTCAACGATTACTAATTTCGTGAACCTGGACGACTCGTTGGCACTTGTGGCACCGCCTACCAAAGGTTCACCGAGTACTAAGTTGGACCCAAGTCTGCTCTACGCTCAACTACCCCACGACTATGAAGGGTTTGTGGTCTCTTTTGATGGTTCCGCTAAGACGGAGAAGAATGGTGGCTACGGTAGCTGCTCATGGATAGTGTGGAAGCTTCCAGAGTGGCAGATAGTGATCGCTGCGAGTGCCTACATCGAACAAACTACGGTGATTATGGCTGAGTACAGTGGCATGAACCATGGGGTGATAGTAGCCCTGGAACATGTGGCTGAGGACCTAGTCATCGTTGGAGACTCGAGGTTGGCAATCCAGCAATCACTAGGGGTGATCGCATGCCGTAAGGATTCGTTGATGACACTCCTGCACCCCCACCGAGAAGTCGTGGCGAAGCTTAAGTTAGTCCGAAACCTGCACGTAGTGCGTGAGTATAACGCAGCGGCTGACTCGCTCGCTGGTGAAGCATTGGAGTCGAAGGTGTCTAAGGTGGTGCTCAACGACCACCGCAAGACTGAGCTCAAGGAACTGAACAGAATCCAAGAAATGATCTATGAGCCGTCTTCAGACGAAATCAAGGTCGAAAACGCGAGTTCCGAGAGTTTCGCTCAAATTCCAGACGGAAAGACACGCTACATTCACGCCATGGACAGCGATATCTTGCTACAACGCAAGACTTATGCTGATTGTGCGCACCAAGAACGTGCCGAAGTCTCAGCTACAACTCGAAGTCAGACCAAAACCAAGAAGAAACGAGTGCACTTCGAGAACGAAGTTCCTGAAGGAACGACCAACACTGAGGCTACTGAGGCAGTCAACGAGAACTCGGAAACGCAAGAACAACGACCAAGTGCTGAGGCCCGACACGAACTAACAGCCGACGACATTGACCCAGTTACAGTGCAAGAAGAGTGAAGACGCCGTATCGCCAAGGCCCAGGACGAAGAGTTCAGGGGGTCGAACCTGAAAGCCGTCCTGAGAGGGGAAACCACAGGAGAAACCACAGCGATGACTTACAAAGAGGCTCGAGAAGCCTGGAAGTGGGCGGACAACTTTGTGTTGTCAAGCGACAATGTCTTGTACTACACAGGGGTGAGCAGAAGAAAGGTTGACGAAAACCAGCCCGAGATGTCGTTGAGGCTTGTGGTGCCAACCACAATGATCCAAGAGGTGCTATATAACTGTCATGACTCCGTCGAAGGAGGGCACCATGGTGTCGTTCGCTTCTATCAAAGCAAGAGTGAAACACGACTACTACTGAATCGGTCTCTACGCAGATGTGGAAAAACATGTGAAGTCATGCCTCGACTGCGGCTCGAGTAAGAGCTTGCCGCAACTCAGAGGCTACTCACCTGGCAATGTGCTCGCGGAGCGACCATTCCAAGTGGTGTCAATGGACTTTGTGATCCCTCTACCGAGATCTCGTCGAGGGAACACTGCCTTATTGCTATGGCATTGCTCGTTTACATGGTTCATAATCGCTAAAGCGATGTCCGATACTGATGCCCTGACTGTGGTCAAGGTGTTCGAGGAACGTATTTACAGACGATTTGGTGCTCCGTCTCTTGTTCGACATGACCGAGACCCACGCTTCATGAGCGAGGTCTTCCAAGCTTTCGCCGAGTTAATACAGGCAAGGTCAAGGTCGACGTTGAGCTATCGCCCACAAGCGAATGGGCAACAAGAGCGGTCGGTCAAGACCGTGATGCAGTCTGTCAAGGTCTATGTGGAAGACCCGTTGCAGCAAGACTGGGACGAGATCGCTGAACGACTAGTCTTTGCGATCAACAACTCTCATGACATGACCAGGAAAGAGACACCATTATACTTGGTGCATGGCGGGGATGCCCATACGACACTACGAGCAATGACGACCTCCATGAAGCGA